TGAGTCGATACACACCGAAAGAACGCGCTGAAATCGTAGCCTTCTTTCTTCAAAGTTGGAGAGACCATTGACGGTGCACGCTGCCGTTGGATTTTGGCGCACTTTGTCCGTCGACGGGGCACCTTGCCACACCGCAGCCGCTACGATCAAGTTTTTGCAGAGCAAGTTTCCAGGACGTGTTAGCTCAAAAAATGGAGATTTGGAGTGGACTCCTTGTTCACTAAATATAACGGTACCAGATTTTTTTCTGTGGGGATATTAAAGAAGTAAAGTTTATGCCAGCAAGCCGAAGAACATTGACAAACTGAAAGCTAATATACGAGCTGAAATAGCTGCGACATCACCCGAAATGCTGGCCAATGTTATGCAAAATGCCGGCAAAAGAGCTGCTTTTTGTGCACCTAATAGGGGTGGTCATTTAATCGACGTTGTATTCTAAACCTGGTTTGGAATAATTGGCATAGAATATCGTAAAAAAATCTTGTTCATTTGTGAAAATTGGCTGAAAAATGGCGGAGTTATTCAATGCGGAAATAGGATACATCCAGATGGCGCACCCTGTAGTTGCTGACTCCATAGCCACAGTTGCCCAGTGAAAATCAGTCCCTAAATTCGTTTTGCTCATAACCAGAACCAGATGCTTTTCTGCTTCCAAAAATTTTTGTCATTTTTTACTCCAGGTGATTGGATTCTTACATGAGCACAATTTAAATACCCCAACACCTTTAGAAACTTCGCTACCCGGTGAAATGCACGCTTTGTGGTCTCGGTATTCTGATGAATGATTGGATAGGCTTTAGCTTTAGCAATTTAGCAATGGAAACCCGACTGCCAGTCCACACTTTTATTATTTTTTTTTATACAGAATTCATTGATTTACTGGATCTGCTATAATATAAGCCTAACAGTAAGTGTAAAAATCTTAAAAACTAAATTACAAATATGAAAGTTCGAGTTATTTAACTCTAAGCCCTTTTCAAACTACGGCGCTCTCCTTAGAAGGCGGGAACATCTCTTCGTTGCAGGCGGGAATTTCTCGATGGGTTGCATAATGCATTAGCTAGCGGATTTGGATGATTTCTCAGCTTTTTGTGAAGTACTTCGTCCTGCTTCTTTCAATTTCAGGCTTAACCATTAAAATACCAAGGTCTTGAGGAATGTTAACGTTACGAACGTACCATGGTGCGCCCGTTAGTGCTCTTAAAGTTCTAGACTGGAACCTCTGTATTTTATCAATATTAGTTGCACAGGTCGTACCCCACAGTTGAAAACCATACATCCAAATTGGTTGTAATACTGCGTTGTAGATAAGCATAATTTGAAGTCTAGTTTTAAACCGGAGTTTTCATTTAAAAGCAAATTCAAACTAGCTGCTTTTAATTTCATGTGAAGTATTTTTGCCTCTATGTGTCTCTTTCAAGTGAGACGTCTATCTAAGTGTATACCGAGATATGTAACATCATTTTCTTGGGGAACGTTTATACCATTTAAGCGAATTGCAGGCCATGATTGAGGTCTTAAAGTAAATGAGATGTGTTTACACTTTTGTTCATTAACTTTGACACTTTTCGGTTTAAAGGGATGTCTGCCGTGTATATGATATATAAATTAGGCCCGAGGACGATACCCTGCGGAACACCCGCTTTTACCGAATACTCCTCACTGATAAATTCAAATTGTTTAATGGTAAAAGCAAAATTTCCACTGCTTTATTCCTTTTAAATCAAATAAATTATCAACAATGAATAAAGGTTCATTTTTAAGAGCTATAGGACAGTGTTGCCAGTTATAATTTTGAAATCGTAGATAATTTCGTCTGCCTAGGAGCCAGCATCAACACCAACAATAATGTCAGCCTTGAAATCCAGCGCAGAATCACTCTTGCCAACAGGTGCAACGAACAAAAACCAAGCTCTACAAGTCTCTCATCATTCCCGTCCTTCTATATGTTGTGGAAGCATGGAAAATGACAGCATCCGATGAGGCGGCGTTAGGAGTTTTCGAGATAAAGATTTGGCGTAAGATTTATGCCCTTTGCGCATTGGTAACGGCGAATACCACAGACGATGAGCTGTACGATTTATACGGCGACATTGACATAGTTCAGCGAATAAAGAAGTAGCCGCCGGTGGAAACAGAGGAAGAGGAAGACCTCCATTCCGTTGGAAAGACCAGGTAGAGAAGCACCTGGCTGTACTTGTTAGTTCCAATTGGCGGCAAACAGCAAAGAAAAGAAACGAATGGCGCAATGTTGGTAAATCGGCCAAAATCGCGTAAGCGGTGTCTGCGCCAGTAAAGTAAGTAATTAAATAGGAAAGTTTAAAAAAAAAAACACATAAAGTTCAGAAAAATTCAAGAAATATTTATTAGAATCTATAGAAGGGTCTTATATTTTATTGTTTGAAGATTATTTCCCGTAAATGTTGACCGTGACTGCGCCTCAAATGGTCCATCCGCTTAGTCCAATTTCGGCATAGAAAACATTGTAGATCAAATCGGTCGAAAAACGGTACCAGTAACGAAAATGTATTCATTCTTAAGCTTCTGGAAGCGATGACGAGGCACAAAAGGAAATATTAGTAACATTTAGAAGAAGAAATCTATTGCTTGATATTTATTTAAACAGAATCGGATAGACTCTTTGACAAAATGAATTTCAAACTTATTTTCGTATTTCAGTTATCCTTACTGAAAATCTAAACGACGAATTATTGCAAAGCAAATTTTACTTAAATACTCATCCTTTTAGGGGACTATTAGAAAAATCATATTGGCATCTTTACCCTTGGATTGGTATAAAGCATGTAAATAGGATTTCATAATTGTTGAAATCCAAAAAAATTGTGAATACAATTTTTAAATTGAATTTCAAATGCCAAATTTATTGAAATGCCTAAAAACGGAAAAAATGAACTATATAAATGAGTGGATTCAAATGAAATCGACAAAACAAACATTTCTAGTACAACTTGCTGGTTAATTTTTACTGATATTTCTCAACGAACACAGTTATTCATTAATTACACTTATTTATTAAGGGGCACACCAGATGTGAAATTTAAAGTAAAAATCTCGATCTTTTTTCCATATTTGGATAGATTACACCTTTCAAAATAACATATTAAAATTTCACCATGATATCTCAAATAGTATTTGAGTTATAGCATGTTAAAGAGCAGCCGTTCGGCAGCTAGAGAGTCTTATTAGCTACGATTGAAAACGATCATTTTATCTTTAAACACGTTTTTCTCGAAACAGCATTTTCCGAATTTGCTGCAGTGATTACTCAAAAACAAATTATCAGTGACCTATCGATTTTTGATCTGTTCAAAAAATCGAATTTTGACAGGCCAAAAACGACTAAAATTTTGGGTAAAATTCGACTATTTTTTTTTTTAAAACGCCACTATATTGTCAATTTTTTTTTTATTGTAGGTTATTGTACAGACAATATTATCTTATCGAGAATTTTTTTTTAGATTTCATCCACGGAGGAGGCCGGAATCACTCTAGCAGTGAAGAACCTTCGCGCCGTTGGAGATCGAGTATAACTTAAAAACATGTAATTTTTTTGTTAAAAAATTTCACTGTGTATTCTTGAAACATTTATAAATATATTCTTAAAATTTTGAAATAATTGATAAAGCATTTTTTTTTATAAAAATTCCCAAAAATCACCTTTTTTTAGGCCATTACACTAGGTGTGCCCCTTAATCGGACATTTTGAAAACTAATTTTATGCCACCTTTCAGTTAAGCAATGATTAAATGTCCAAATTTGTATGCAACTGTGTTACCGTCGTATCTATACGTCTGTAAATTAAAAATTACTTGGCTTTCGGACAGGTTGAAATAAGAAAAAGGAGCAAGAACATGCTGCTGTCATCGGTCATGTCGTGTCTTTTACACCTTTCATGAGCATATCAAATTTATTGTAATGCATATACATATATCCATATAAAAAAATCATATCTGGCATGGGAGCGATAAGATGTATTCCTCCGATTTCTCAGAGTTTTAGAGTCAATATTTTTTTAAAAATATTATGGAGAGTATCAACCTTCACGCTCTTCGATGTTATGATTTTTGTATGACTTACTCGACCGATCTGCACTGTCCCGATAAATGATCAATATATGTATGTATTATATAAATACTCCGTCATATTGAATATCGTTCAAATTTCTCTAAAAATGCGTTCAAACAGCCACAGGTGCCAACCTTTCTCTTTCTGATACTTACATACACGTACTTCGGACCAAAGTTGATGCATGTTTTGATGATCACGAAAGAAGTAAAAGAAAAGCTTTTGTGCACGCCTACTTTTAAAGAGATTTCAGTTTGAGTCATTCCGTTTGAATATCAACGCCAACCAACTGTAGGTAAATTACAGAGTAAAGAAAAAATCGCTTTTGGTTTCTCTTATAGTCATCACTCTCTTCAAATAGATTGTCTCTGCTGAGTCGCTATGCTTTTAAAAGGCAGAGCTTTTTCACTTAGTGCCGGCAATTGTCGCTTTCTCTCCTCTCTATCTTTCTCTTTGCTTTACGGAAAACACATTTGTTTGTAATAAAATTTGCTTACGTTTCATATGTAGATAGCGTTCACGGTAGTCTTGTGGTTAGGATTGCGTACTGCCACTCGGAAGGCCCGAGTTCAAAACCTCGTGCGACCAACATCCAAAAGTTATGGAAAATTATTTGATATAAAAATTTAAGGTAAAGTTTTTAATTTAATAAAAAAAGGCTCCTCGTAAAAAAAGCATTAGTCGTTTGGAGGCGGCTTAGTATAAACTGTAGGTCCCCCCATTTGTTGGAAAAAATATCAAGACGCAAAACCACAAATTGGAGGAGGAGCTCGGCCGAAAAATCGCTTCAGCGGTAACAAAGTGCCAATTATTATATATATATTTATATGTATACAAGAAGAAGCATTAACTGCCAGCAAGCAATAAAACGATGCGCAGTTGCTGTTCTTACCTTAAAACAGTTCAGTTCGAGTTGTTCCATAGCATTTGCTAAAAGCTTTCGTATCGCACAGCACAAATTATTAAAAATAGAATTAAATTGAAAATTAACATTCGACTTTGTATTCTTGTTAAAAAAAATTTATAATAAAATATAACAGTACGCAATAACTTGTTTATCATGTCTTACGTGTTCCTCTCCATTGCCTTAGTGATAGTGGCTTTGGTATTACTCTACTTGCACAACCATTACAGTTATTGGGCGCGGCGCGGCATACCGCAGGAGGATCCCATCTATGGGCTTGGCAATATGAAAGGTATCGGACGTGAGTTTCACTTTCGCGACATAAATTCACGTCTCTATGAGCGATTCAAGCGCAGTGCTTCACCACTGGGTGGCATTTACATGTTTTTCATGCGCAGTGCTTTTATTGTCGATCTGGACATAATCAAACATATATTGATAAAAGATTTCTCAAGCTTTCACGATCGCGGTATATTCAGCAATGTGCGGGATGAGCCGCTCACAGGGCATTTGCTAAGGCTAGAGGGCGAACAGTGGCGCGCCATGCGCAATAAGTTGACACCTGTCTTTACATCGGGTAAAATGAAGTTTATGTTCCCCACAGTGGTAGCAGTGGCAGAGAATCTCAGTCGTGCATGTGGTGAGTTCAGGACAGAATTCGAAGTGAGGGAATTAACTGCGCGTTACACCACCGACGTGATTGGCACTTGTGCGTTTGGAATTGAGTGCAACAGCTTGTCCGATCCGAATGCCGAGTTTCGTAATTACGGTCGTTTGATTTTCGGAAAGCCGCGTCACTCACAGCTCGTACAGGCGCTCATATTATTTAATCCTGAGTTGGCGCGTAAACTGCGTTGCAAAGTGTTCAACGATGAGGTCACAGAGTTCTTTATCAATGCCGTGCGTAGCACTGTTGAGTATCGCGTCCAGAATAAAGTGAAACGAAATGATTTCATGGATATGTTAATTGAGATGATGGCCGAGGATCAAGAGGCAGCAGCGCAGCATGATAGTATAGATTTATCGCAGGGCTTGACGCTGCTGCAGATGGCGGCGCAGGCCTTTGTCTTCTTTATAGCCGGCTTTCACACCTCGTCGACCACAATGTCCTTCTGTTTGTATGAACTAGCAATGAACCAGGACATTCAAGATAAGCTGCGTGAGGAAATCTTACGTGTCTTGAGCGCGCACAACAACATAGTTACATATGAGGCGGTGAACGAAATGACATATTTGGAACAGGTTTTGAGCGGTGCGACTACTTGTTAACAAAACTTTAAATAATTATTAACTTTTATTTATTATTTTTCATGTGCAGAAACGCTGCGTAAATACACCGTGTTGCCACATCTTTTACGCACCGCCAGTAGTGACTACCGCATTCCCAATACATCACTTACTCTACCAAAAGGCTCCAAGATATTGATACCCGTCGATGCGATACACCATGATCCGGAAATTTTCCCCGAGCCCGATATATTTGACCCTGCACGCTTCGATCCTGATATTGCCGAGAAGCGTCATGCCTGCGCATATATGCCTTTCGGCGACGGACCACGTAACTGTATTGGTCTGCGGTTTGGCAAGATGCAGGCCAAGGTTGGTCTTATTCATTTGCTGCGGGACTACAAATTCATTCCTTCCACACGCACTGAAAACCCCATTGTGTTGAGCAAACGGAATTTCGTTATAGAAGCGGAAAATGGTATTTATTTGAAGGCGGTGAGAGTAAGATAAAGAAAAGATGCATAAATGACCTCGCAAAACAATTTTTTTTATTTTTGATGCTTCAGGCAGAAAATGACGATTATTAGCTTGAGGTTATCTGCTTATGAGAATAAATAAGTCTTACAATTCTTATTCTGCAACTTGTTCTATTTTATTTTGATTTGTTGTAGAGTAATTTAAAGGCTTAAAATAATTAAATTTTATTAAAACGCTTTCAGCTATAAAAATATAATAAATTCATTAAATGTATGCAGCACTCGATGATTCTCAATATCCATTTTTAGTACTTTGATCGTAAAATCTATGTATGTACAGTGGCTCACAGCCAAAGCGATGCAGCTGAGTACGAAATAGTATAATAAGTTTTATTTAAAAATCAAATAAATTTTCAAAAAAACATAAATGCCAGTTAATAGCAGCAGATATGCACATGCGGTATTTATTTTGCATTCAAAAATCGTCGACAAGACGCCGCCACTAACGGTAAATCTTTGTGCATAATTTTCGCTGTGAGGTACAATTTAGCACTGAAGTTTGTTTCTTTTGTTGTAAGTTAAATAAAATAAACATAAAATATTTAATTTTTAAAGCACAAATGAAATGTGTATATCTCACTCAGAGGGCTTAAATTTCCCTGTGTGGCGACCGCAATTAAAAAGATTTATTTTCTTTAATCTTAGGCGTTCGTCGAACGATGGCAATCACACGGCTATTTCGAACGTTTATGACTTACTAATTTATTATTTATTATTATTGTTTGAATATTATTGAAATAAATCAAAGATTTCGAGCTAAATATAATTTACGCTGACGAAAGGCGATCCAATTTTTCTTGTGAGAAAAAAATATATGTGATCTAACTTTAGTAATGAATTGTCTTCTATTTGAACTAAAAAAAAGTTGAACAAAAGCACAACTATTTTTTTGCCACTTGAAAAGTATTATTTAAAAAAAATAGAATTTTTTTTTCAGAAACGAATTTTTTTCTAAACTTGGAAAAAACTTGAAATACTCCAACTTCTTCCGGGTTCTTTCTAGTTCTTATAGAAGAGACATTCGTAAAAATTGCAAAAACAAAATTTGTTCGACCTCCAACACCGGCACCGTTTCACAAGTTCAGGCTGCAGTCGCTTCACAAAACTCATCACAACATTGGAACATTTTGATATATTTTTGATACTAAAAATTTGTTTTTGGAGCTTAAATGTAGTACATTATTGTTTCGTTTACCGCAATAATTTCCTTACCTTTCAGAAAATCTGCTGGAAAACGTTTTTTTCGGGTTCACTAAGAGAGGCTTTACGTAGGGTAGACACGGACACGATTTAGCTGTGTGTGGAATAAGAGAAGCGTCCAATTACAACACGATTATACGTTAATGCGAGTGGCTACAATAACGTAATTATTCGGTAGTGAATGCCCTCGAAAAAAGAACCCTACTTTCGATAAGGCGCACAAATGCATTACAATTCAGAATTTAATACCCACCAAAAATTTTGCAAACCAAATGATTTCAATAAATATTATATAATAATATATTGAAATTTAGATCTAAAATAGTTTAAATATGTCACATCATTTCAAATTGTGGTAGAATTTGACAAAACTAAACCGTTAATTCACATAAACTGTATGCATGATTGAAATTATGTATGCATTGTTCGCACAGACGCGCGCGCACTGTTTAAATCGTAAATTTAACTGAATAAGAAGAAGAAAAGCTAATATTTGGTTTCTTCGGTTCGGTATGAGTACAGGATATACCATAACTCGTTAATGTGGTGCTGTGGCACCATTGCTATTGTACTTAAATCCTTTTGTAGTTTTGCTTTTGGCGCAAGTTAAAATTACTTTCGAAGCCATTGGCTCATTTATTTCATATAATTTAATTCTTTTTATTTAATTTATTCCTTAAATTATTGTATATTAATAAAAAAAGTCAAAATATAATTAACATAAAAATAACAAAATATCATTTAATGATATGTTTATTTGCTGCAATATAAATTCTAAGAATGCAAAGTTTTTTCCAATTGTATTTCTTGTGCCGGGTGGTAGTGTCCGTGAAGTGTGCGTTTCTAATATTTGTGTTCTAGTTTTCTTATCAAGATGCATATGTATGTATCTACAATATCATAATATTAAATGAAAATATGCAAATATCTTTAAAATACAAATGGCCAATAGCAGGTTTGCTATTTTAAGTTGTATATATATGTGAACATAGGTATGTTGATTGAGGGCAGAAGAGAACTGAGAGAATATTATTAAAAAAAAAAATAATAATAAATCATTTGCATATAGTAATTACAATTCTAGCTACATTTTTACTAGAGCGCTGCATTTTCACGACTCTTCCCATAAGTTTCCTGAGTTTTGGAGTCGAGTAAGTCGGCACCGTCAGCGTTTCAAACCGTGCAAGCAGAGTGAAAAGTATCTTCCTCACGTGACGGCACCGAGTGTAAAGCGCAATTGAGCTTAGGAGTTTTGTTGCCATCGGTACCGAGCAAAGCGAATTTTATGCCTCCCGGTAACAAAGACAACTTTTGGAGTGTTTCGAGTGGCTAGTATTATCTTAATAGAAAGTGAAGCTATTGATTTTAAATAAAAAACCATACAATACGCGTTTTTTCAATTGCGATATATAAAATCTTTTTACCATGTCATTTTTCAAAGTAAAATATAAAAATCTTAATAGAGATTTCATTTCATTATAATTTTTTCCACTGAGAGTTATTCTAATATATAATATATTTAATATCTAATGAACAATTTTACTTAATAATGTGAATAACAATTTTTGTTTCAATTTCTCCTTAAATAAAAAAAAATCAGCAAAATTTAATTTTTTTGTTAATTTATTTTTTCATTTTATAACATTCCATTCATTTTAATACACTTTTATGACTTTAAAATTATAAAAATAGTAAAATTAAAAACTAAAACATTTGATTTCATGGTTACTAGTTTAAATGATTTTAAGAACAAAAGAAACATATATATATATTTTTTTCAATTTAGAACAAAAGAAACAAAAAAATCATATAAGTCTGAAATGTTGGTATTGTTCTCTTGATTAAAATGCAAGAACATAAAAATTTTATTCATTCCAGTCTTCTGTAAACGCAAGGGGGCTTTTTTTGTGACATAAGATTTCCTGCCGCAAAAAACACACATTCTGATGAAGGGCAACTTGAAGGAGTTGCTAAGACCATACAACTTAATTTGTTTAAAAGTGGAAAGTTGGACTTTCGGAGTTCCCCCCCCCCCCCCCCAACTGAAAATATTGATGTCGTAGCTATTAGGTATTCATCTGTTTCTTGTGCAATGAGTTTTCCGGGATCATACTCCTCTTCAGCCTCGACAAAATCTAAGAAAAGTTTCTTTGGCTTCGAGTCAGATGAGCAAGTGTTTTGTAGTTCGTTGTTAACTACTTCACTTTAAAATCACCGTAATAGTCTAACGAATTCATCCTCAATAATTTGTTTTCAATAGATGAGAATTGCAACAATTTAGTTGTTGGTGGATATAAAAGAAAGGGCTATTTTATGGGAAACTAATAATCCTGCACTATTTTACACAATACAATCAACGACGTAAATGCATCTAATGCAAATGCATAAATGTAAATATTATATATACATATGCTGCCTAATTTAAAGTCGTTTGAGACTCTCGCTGATTTTGGAGTAGTTCGCAAATTTTCAATAGCTCGTGAGAGCGGTACGATATATTTATTCTGCCGGCATAATCGAATATAGCATTCGAGAAAAATGAGAGCTTGTTCTACTCTGTTTGTTGCGTCGCAGCGCCCGGCTTGCTCGTACCGTTTTTGTTGTTGTCTTGTTTTGCTCGTGCCATACTTTGGAAGTTACCTAGTAGCGGGTATACCCATGCAGCGCTTTAATTTCTAACACTTCATATTTGCTATTTTCCTACTCGGTCCCATCGGCGCCAAAAAATTCAAAACGAATTTATCTTTTTCCCCATTTATTCTACATAGAACGTAAATACAGAGAACATAACCACAATGTTCTCTGGCTGCTACTTCATTGATTGATACAACTCATCTGCTGAGTGCTCACACAAGCTTATGCTCTTATGGTGTAGTTACTTCACTATCAATTGAACAGAGAACGTAAATCTTGTTGTATTTTTGCGTTTACGTACTCTGAAACGAATTTGTGTACATACATATGCATATACAGATCCGTAACAATTTAATATTGTATGTTTATATGAGAACGTATCCCTCTTCGCTACAGATCTGTTTGATATAAATTTTTCCAAAAAAGCAATAAATATTGAGAGATACAAGTGAACGTGGCTATATAAGAGCGACTGAGGTCATGTTAAGTACATATGAAGAGTAAATGAATTTTAATGTTATTCATAGAAGAGACCTCTAATTTCAACGTAGAGATTTGAAATTTTCAGAGTAGACTATTAAAGTTAATAGCAAATCAAATGTAAAAAACAGAGAGAACAATTTTCGTCAGGGTGGTTGAGGCCGCCTGTTAAATACATGACGGATATGATTAAACGAAAGAAGCAAGGGAGATTTTTTTTTATAATAATGATATAATCTGTAACAGGTATTACATACATACATATGAAACTACAAAGTACTACAAAAAACGGTATTAGAAAATGAGTTAAAAATTGAAATTGAAATGGAACAAAATTGGGTTTATAAGGACAAAAAATTATGGCTTTTAAAACGTTTAAAGCGTAAATCGACATTTCATTTTTCATAAAAAGTTATTATGCTGGACTGCATCACTAACTTAACATCTATGCCGTTTGTTACGTGGTATAAGAGAAATAAAGAGTTTGTGGCGATCATAACGGGAACACTGAACTTCTTCTTGAGTTTTTGGGTTTCGAAATCCGCTGCAACTATCGAATTATCGACCCATTTAATTATATATATATTATATTAAATACATACATATCTCCACCGAAGCTTAGCCGTGGCTCAAGGATCCACACATCTTGTGCCTCGCGACTCTAATAGCATACCAGAAGCTTGACTATACCCCACTACAGACCATTTTTACGAAAACTGCTATTAGAAAATATTTTTATTTGGTTTGTTTGTTTTTTTTCACCAATTTCCTCGGTTGCCCGCTTTCAACTAAATTTTTAACAAACATTTCGTTTTTTTCTTCTAATGACGCACAGCAACAGGGCTAATTTTCCAAGTTATGCAAATATGTACATGCATACATAAATACATACATACATATATACAGGCTAAGTACGTAAATATTATAAAATACCATTAATTTTGGTATTGTCGTCACTGATTCGCCACTGTTGTGACGCTTTTGACTGCCGAAACTAACGGTAACCACTGAGACCACCAACGATCTGCCGCAGATATCAAAATTTCCAACTGCCAATTGGGAAATTGAAACGTTTGATTGCCGCTTGTTTGTTGCTCAAGTGCTTGCA